CGTTTCAAGATTTCCCCTTGCTTCTCCCTCCCCCCGCTCTCTCTGTCTCCACATTTTCTTTGAGAGCAAAGTCTCCTGACTTGCCACGATCTGAACGGGCACCCGTTTACCCCCTTTCTATTAATTTAGCTGTCTCCCTGTTCCACCCGTTCCCAGCAACGGTAGATTGAAACTCACATCCAACGACGAAGCACCAATTGGACGCAATAATTGTCTTTTGTAACAGAACGGTGAACCGCAGGCAGACAACGACCCCTTAAGAACCTTCCCAAAGAGCCCGGTGGACCATTAGACCAAAATTGGCGTCGATCCGCGCAATGGCTTGAGAGTCTATAGGTCACCCACAGACCCACATACATTCGCTTTTATATATATAGATATAGAATATAGAATAGATAGATTAAGATTATATGCCACCAGCCCTGGGGAACGCGGCCTTCGGCCGCGCTCCTTAATGTGGACTCATATGTACATATATTTACGGGGTCGACAATCTGGCTTCTGAATTGCCCGTGCAAATTTACTGACCGCAGCGGAAGTTTTGCCCATTGCTCCCGTAGTCCCGTACGACTGGCATTCCCTTCCTCGCCCTGGGGAAAATTTCAGTGATATCCGCTCACTCGATGAGGTATCCAGATCATTCAGAATAGCGGAAATATTCGGTCAGACCTTCACTAGACTTTTCCCCGTTGAGTCACGCTCGATGGTTGCTGCGGGAGCTTTCTCTGCCGGAGCGAGCTTGGCTTGATTCTCTCCAGCCGATCGTTCCGAAGCTAAGTCCTAGAGTGTTGACGGGAAGGTAGGGAAGCGAGGTCTCATTCAAACAAATCAATTAGACTCAAAATAATGGGAGAGAGAGCTCGTGTGGGACCAGCGATGAGGTACCAGAATCGAGACGCTCGCAAAGAACGACTTATGCCCCTACACTTTGAACCGAAAGTGATAATACGGCAATGACTCAGACGGCTCGAAAGAAAAACAATCCGTTTTCCTACAGGCTCGACAAAAATCGACACCCTCATCTACATCATTGGTAGCTAGGAGAGTCGAGAGCCGATCTGACCGCTTGAGCATTCCACCCGGATTCTCGTTCCGCTCTTGCTGGGTGCGTCGCTTTATCCCCGACACAGACCATGGCATCTTTCTGTTTCGGGGGTACTCTCTCCACGGGGCCGAGCTTTCCTTACCGCGATCGAAGCTCAGACTTCTCCTGTGGAATTCGGAAGGGCCTGGTAGTCGAAGCTCGGCCTTCGGCCGAGCCAGAAGTCCTGCTGAATTCCTTCACGCGCTTTCAGGACGAGTTGCGGCACTTTTCCAAGGCGCTCCAATCCTCCCTGACTTCGCCGACAATCACCGACCTTTGACGAATCCTTGACCGCGTCCTTCATTTGATCAAGTTTTCAATCTTCCTTCTGGAAACAAGTCGGCGGAATTTGCGAATGAACTCACAGCCTCGCGAACCTATTCGCTTTCCCCGACTGCCACCCGACTTCCGAAAATTGGAACACCGCGAACATTGTTCCCAGTCAAATATTTCCTGGAGCATCGAACATAACTCCTGGACACTTCAAATTATTTTGATCTTACAGAGAAAAGGATCAGCCTCCGAGCGGGGTTCAGGCAATCGACTTCGATTTTAGATATCCTTGACGCTGTCGACTCGATCGAACTCTGGAGGAAACCGAAAAGGCAACGCGAGATGGAGATTTGCTCTTCCCGCGCGTCTGTAGGGACCCCTCTCATGAGGGAAATCGTTTCCTCGCGTCAAGCAATAATTCTCCGGTTGCTGGACCCCATCATAAGACACGAATCTATGGTATCTGCGCCGCGAGCGCCCGACATCAGCATCATTGGCTCAAAATCTAGAGAGGAGGTCGAGGGCACCGATAACCGGTATTGAAATCTCCATCGAAGTGGGGATCTGACTGAGATTGAAGCGCACCGACTCCCTCTTTCCTCCCCATCGACTGGAGCTAACCGAGAGCGATCGGAATACATATAGAGACAAGCGCTCAATGCTCCACAGTAATCGAATGTTCGAGAACACCTCGAGCGAATCACCTGCGGCGTTGTGAGCACGACGTGAGTGCCTCCTTCCTCTGCGGAGATACATTCCTTACTCGGAGATGCGGCTGCGCAATAAAACGCAGAATGTGCATAGGAGCTTGTTTATCGACAAGGGATCTTCTACGGTTCTACTTGTTTATTGAGTACTGTGGGCCACTAAAGCAGTGACGGCACTTTCCTCTTCAAGTCTTTGATAGAAACATCCGCACGTCGCTCGAGCATCATTATTCGAGAAGACGTCGGAGGCAGCATTGCGTAATGTTCGAGAGCAACCACTGTGTGAGCACAAGCATTCGGCTTTTGCTGGTGTTTGCGATTTTCGCACGAGGCTTCTGTGCTACGTTCAGGGGACGTGTGGACATTGTCGACGGTTGGTTGGAAATCCTTGTGTGGCCCCCAATGGAAGTTCGAGAGAAAATCGACCGAGGTATCGTCGCCGCTACATTGATCATCGCTCCGAAGACTCCTTTTTTCTTCAGGAAAATGCAATGTGACCGCCTGCGCCGGTGGTCCGACACTGTTGGAAGATGGCGAGACGTGCGCGCTGAGGGAATGCGGAGAAATTTCATGCCATGTGAAGGAGGAGATATTCAGCGGAGTGTCGTATGGGACTCTTCCTTTTTTTCCTTCGAGGCATGCCGCACAGACTGTTCAAGAGTGAGTTTTAAGTGCAGTTTTCCGCCTTGCAGATGTTGGGCTATCGAGTGTAATGATGGATGCAAGCCTATTGCGAAGGATCCCGGAGGTCACTACCCCGACTGCTGTCTCTCGGATTGTGATTGCTCTTTTTCGGCCCTCTACTTCGGAGTGTGATTCAGAAGATAATCTCTATGAGTTCAATAAACGCGCATATCGAACCGGACCATGTTCTTCCACATCAGAAGAGATTTCATGAGAAAGATTCGCTCGTGATAGCCGGAATCATCCTGCCAATGAGCGATGGTTAGACTCAACCCACCAGTGAGTGGTAGCGTGGTGCTAATGGGATCGCAACATACGAGCGCACCTCTATCAGGATCCGTTCGCTCCGCGCAGCGGATCTCTTATCCGATACGGCGGTGCGGGTAGCAAGCTCTGCGAGCGAGAGCACAGGGTTTCCCAGAATATTGGTACCAGGCGCTTGACCTAGGTCCTCCGTAATTCGCTAAGTGGACCATCCATGTAATAGCTGTCATCCTAAGATCGGTACGAAACTCCCTCAATTCAACTCGTAATGGATCTGAACTTGTTTCGAAGGCTGACAGGAGCTTCGAGAGATGGGAACTTCTCGATTCTTTTCGAATCAGAGCCCTCTCCAGACATCTCCGCCCGGAAAGTTGGGGGTCTTGCTGAAACCTCGGGAGCGGGCAATCGCAAGAGGATTTTTCACTGTCGTTTCATCTAGCACTTAGCGGATCTAGCACTGTTATGTATATTGACTATCGAATTATTTCGCGACGGGGAACTACCGGTCCGCATTTCCTCCTGAAATAGAGCTTGATCAGCCTCCTTCACCTTCATCGAACATCCACTCACCTCAGCGATCGTCGATACGCCCATGTGAGGAATGTCTCCCTCCGACAGCAATGGAGATTACCGCGATTCAGACGAAACAGCGTTGTTTCTGAGTCAAAACATATTGAGACCTCACCTAAGTGACATCTTCCGAACCCTTATTTTTCGAATGCCTACTCGGAGAGTACGGAGAGTAATCAAAGTTCCTCAATTAAGCGAGTGGGACAAGTGCGCCTCCTTCGGTTCATTGACCGTGATGCTACGCTGGAGGATTGATCGAACGGCAAGGATAGGTACGACTCCGGGCGATAGACAGAGTCAGATTCCCCCAAGGGTCGACGTCAGAGGCGTCAGCCTTTGACATGGGAAAAACTGCGAAATGCCTAGGCTTCTTCGAGTCACTCTTCCCTCTCCTCATCAAACCCATCAGCCGGATGCAGAGCTCTTGAAACTCCGGAGACAAGGAATTTATTCACTAACATAACTGAGGGAACAGAGTCTCGGTCGGAACATGGCATCTTCTGCTTAAGGTCGGGATTCGTCGCACGAAATTCATTCGCTTTCAGACACTCATTGAATATCGTCTCCGTCAATCTTGAGCTACCCATCCAGTGCCCGGCAGGTTTGGGGAGTACGCGGGACTCTTCATCCTAAGATTGGTCAGAGTAGGCTTCCGCGCAGTGGGGATCGCCATTTTCAGACTCGATTGAGGGATCTCTATTTTTTCTCTATCATATTGCTGATTTCAGTGCTGATGCCTATCGTTGTGGAATACGTCGGACACCTGGATCTGGGAATGAAGTCTCAACCGAGGAAGGTAAGAATTGAGAATCATATGATTCGTGATATGAGACCTGACTGAAGCAGGAGGGGCGGGAGTTCACTCCTCTTTCGGATGAATCCCAGATGTAGAGCACTTTCTCCATTCGCTTCCCAGGTGGCGCCAGGAGTCTCACCCGAGAACCCCAGGTCTTGAAGCCGCCTCATCTGGTGGTAGAGCAAGACACCGCATTATTCCGCATTTAGAATCAGAGAAGAGAGTTGACCCCTCGCTCCCGAAGTCATTGGTGGTGTCCAGGGAGCTGGGAGGACGCCTTGGGATTCTAGAAACCTCAAGCGAGCTGAAGAATTCGATACTGTGAGAGACGAGGCTTCGCGGACGCCTCTACTGAGGAGGCGTGATATAGATCCGTTCATGAATTTTCACGGAGGAATGCCGAGCGTGTTGAAACGAAAGTGTCAGTAATAATGATCGAGCCGGGAAGAGGGAAGCGGCGTACTTTCAACTTTAGAGAAAGAGGCGTCAAGATACATTGGCCCTAAAGCAGAGAGAATCCGCGAGGTGTTTTCAATTTTCTGAGACTCCGACTGTGAGCCTCAAAGTAAACATTTCCGACGATGCATTCCTGCTGAGAACTTCCTCAAAGGGAGACATTGGCCGCTTTCAAGACGGCGTTCGACCGACTGCCTGCCTGCCTGCCTGACCGGCCGCTCGTCCGACCGCCTGATCGGCAAACTGAGCTGAGGTCCGATCACGGAAAACCGCGGGGAATGCGATTTGTCAGTCGGATGTTTCGCAGCAGCGAGTAGCAGGCTAAATAAAAAACCGTGACGTATGATAAAGCGCCCCGAATCACTTCTTTCTCGGGGACAATAAGAGAATCGACCAATGAATGGGTGGACGCATGAATGAATAGTGGCTTCAGTCTACGCTCGAGCAAAAGCAGCGGCTCCGAAGCACTCGTACGCGACGCGCGCGCGCGCGAGCCGCGGTTCACCGAGACCATAGCTGTAACTCACAGATTTTCCACAAGAGCCGATTCCGTCTGGCTAGCGACGCTCGAGCGATTCGAAAAATACCTAGACCTCTGTACAGAACCTGGAGTCTGTAGCTCAACCAGCGATCGGTGCTGGCCTTTGTACTCAGTCAGTCAGACCCCGCCGGTCAGGACATCGCACCGCCATTTATCTGCGAAGGCGGATGTGGAAAACCTCTCTAGACGCTGTCGCTCCGAAAGGAATCGCGGTCAGCGCGTATGACGCCGTGTTCAAAGTCACAGGAGCGAGAGTTCGAGACTTGATGAAATTGTTCAATCAGGGCTCCGAAGGGGAAAAATTGAATAGCTCAAGCTTTCGTATCGGTGGACTTTAATGAAGTTAGCGCTGAGTGCTTGTGCTCTACTGATTGGTTGCCAGCCAAGATGGCGAATTTACTTCGCCGTTAATAGCTTATCTTACGTACGCTCACCTCAGGAAGGAAATGCGTGTAGCGAATAGCTGAGATTAAATTGGTCGGGTGAAATATGAGAAACACTCCTCAGTAATCAAGAGCGCGGCGGCATTTGACGAACGCGCCTCGCAGCCTACGTACTCACAGCTTGCTGACCCACAGCTATCCCGAACAAAGCTCCGAGAGTTCGACTCGTTCCGCATAATGAGTCTCCGATAGCAGTCTTCCATATCGAGGTGGAATCTTTCCGTGTGAGAATTGATGCATCGAACGCTTTCTCGAGCCCTCGTCCGCTCTCTCTTGGCGCGGCCCGCTTGCCGAATAGCGGGACAGAAAAGCCGGCACTGCGAACACCTCGCCGGTCTCCGACGCTCGTTGTGCGCGGCACTGACGCGAAATTATTTCAAACGGTGCTGTAATAAGCTGACAGATTTGATAAATGTTGTGTTTTATGGCATCTGGCTCCTTGCTTGGTTGCCACGACTGTCCATTCGTCGGTCTGTCGGTGAGCTCGACTGATTCTGGGTTGGGTGCAGCTTTTGATCAAAAAGCCATTTGAACTTCATATTTTATAGAGCTCTCACAGCTAACGTGCGAAAAATCGCGATGCTGTACCCCGAGAATCGATCGCGACGTCCAACTCTCACAACCGATGCTTTAAAGCCTCCGCCACTGTTACCGCGAGTAAGTACTAGGCCATCGCGCGTCGAAGTATCTGGCTTCCTCGGGATTCTGATCGCTACCGTCTCCTGACGTTGTTTCTCTAATGTGAGCAGCTGAAGCTCGGCGAACGGTCCAACATGCGCGCATAGCCGTCCTTGCTATCGTTAGAAGTCGAATGAGAGCCACAGATACAGATGGCTTCGGCCGTTCAGAAGACGCGAAGGGTCCTATTCACGATGATTTCCGGTACTTTTCAGTGCTTCGCTGATAAGAGGAACGAGACGAGTTGGAGCGTCTGATAAGAAACTGGATGTCGTGACTGTCGGATATAACTTATAGGCGGAATCTCTTCGTCGTGAATTGTTTATTCACGTCCAAGATTTTCGTAAGCGCGATCATTTCGAGGAGTGGTCCATGTCGGTGCTCCCTGAAAGAAGACTTATGAATGGGTTTTCTTCTGGAATCCGAACGGAAACTGCGCGCTAGGTAGCAACGATCGTACAAATATGCCCCAGCTCACATTCCGTTCCCCTGAGGAAAGCGAATTCCACGGCTGGATAGCTAGCCTCGGGAGAAGAACGCAGGAAGTCTCGAAGGAGTCCCGAATACCATGCGACAAGATCTGCATGGATGACATTTAAATATCACAGGGGAGATCGTTCTGGGGAGGATATCAGTCGTTCAACTGTCGGGGGGGGGGGAGGGGGGAATTTCCCGATCAGGTTCGCAGGCACGTATGTTCCTGCGTTGACTTGATGCATCGAATGGAGGTGCCAAATAGTGATCCTGAATCTGATTCCTCGAATTCCGTCTCTGTCAGTTCTCGGAGACTCTAGAGACGATTTTGGCTTCTCGACGGACACACACCTGGATGGGGTATGCTCTATTCTAGCCCACAATAGTTCCGAATCCAAATCTGAACCCGAGCTCGATCAGGACTCCTCCTGCGGCGACTCGCCAAGGCAGGAAATGATGAATACGGAGATGTATGTTTCGAGTCGGGCCCGCGCACCATTGAAATGACGACCAGTGCCACACAGAATCCTTCCTAAAAATATCATCACAATGGAAGGGATCCCATCCTCAACCCAATCCCGAGCTATGTCCTGAGATATCCTGGGCGGAGTCCCGGCAAGCTCCGCCTGTCGAATCGATCCTTTGCTCCTGAGGCAGGCCAGCTGGAAGCGACGAATATATCCGAGGCACTGGGTTGCATTTGAACGAAGAATGTTCCCCATCGAGGATCCTCTCAGCAATCTCGAAAGCGGATTCGAGTAGCCGGCTTCATTAATCTATTATTTTATATGCTCCCCATTCCTGAGATTCCATGCATATGAGAATAAAATGTACGATGAAAAGCATTAATTCATCAACTTTCCGAATGGATCATCCATGGGCAGGCGACCGAGGAGATTCGATAGCGGGATCAGAGTCGAAAGAATTATCGGTAGATCCCTGGAAGGTCTTACTGGAACGAGAATCGCTCGAGTCGCGTCGGCTGATTTCGCTGCATGAAATTCCCGAACTCCGGAAGGGGTGTGCCGTTTCTTGGCTCATTCGAAAATGAAGGCGATGAACGAAATTCGCGTCGAGGATGCGCTCACTTTCCCCTTGGTGAGAGTGCATATGCTCGGGGTAATGAAAGCCTCCACGACCCTACCAGAGGTGAAAGTCTGCATTAGATAAAGACAGAGCAGTCGTGCTTTTCGCGAGATAAGAGGAAGGTTGTCCCGGTCACGAGATACTTCGGTAGATGGGAGCGATTCGCGACCGAGACTACTAAAAAGTCAAGTGCTCAGTGGATGATTCGCCAGTTCTCAACCTTCGGTGCGCTCCGCCTCGATTCAGACTCGATTCCCAACCCTTCCGATCATGGACCACCAGAATGCCTTCCAATTTCTGCGGTGGGGCTTGAGGCAGGATGAATCTCCATTCTGGTTCCACTTTTCTCCGTTCCTTGCATCAATCTGCCAAGATTGCGCTTCGTCTCTACGCCATGTGCGGAGGTTCTCCACACATCACGTTCCCACAAATCCTTCTCCGATGATCCTCGGAGCTCGCTCTCGGTGTACCTCGCTGACGCGCTTGCTGGATTTAGACACTGACTGAGCGAGAAAAATTCCTCCACGCATCGACTTCGGACTCGCCGCTCAACACAAGCATTTGTCACTCATTTCTGATCGAATATTAATTGTTGTTTGTCAGGGAAAGGTCGGCTTATTCCCACGTCATCAGCTCTGCCCACAGGGGGTTCTCCGTACCATCATGACTACATTCTATGCTTCCAGAAATAGAGTCCTGGGTTCACACCAAATCACGAGTTCAACTCATAACGGGTCTTCGTGCTGGGCTTGCGTGATCGAATCCCGAGCTTCGGAATGCCAGCGAGCGGGTGAGAGATGAGAATTGCTCCACATAAAGTTTGGATCACTTTTGTTCTGGATCCCATCGGCGGGAGGCGATTTAAAAAGTTACACTTTCGGAAGAAAGATTCCTCTCCATGCACCATGAGTCGATCGAACTCGTGCATCGTTTCGAGCGGTAGGAGGCTCAGCAAGAACGCTCGAAAGTTTTTTTTCCCGAGTATCTAGGTGTTAAGTTCAAAATCTCGAGGGCGAGGGGGAACGTGGAAAACTTTTTTCGAGCTCTTCGAGCGATGTCCGGCAAGGGAGCTGCTCCTCGCAATCCATGGAATATCGGAGGAACCAGAGAATCGATTGGAATCCGATTCTCTTCCCTTTTGACTCTGCGATCCACTTCCTGAGCAATTCGAAATGCGCGGATTTCCCGGAACATCCGGGGATCTCGCATGAGACTTTCGGGGCGCCTGACGGTCTCGTATGAGACTTCGAAGGCGTCTGACGATCGCTCCTTCCATGTAATCATATCTGTCCGGTGTCCATGCTTCACGTCTCACCTGCCCGAATGGATTGCCTCTGGATTTGCATGTCTGCGAAGCACGTTGCTCAAATCGATGTCGATATATTTGATGGAAAGCCTCGATCCGACCACCTGGCTCGCAAGTCAGCCGAGCGAGATGCCGAAGACTATCGCCTTCGACGGAAGTATTGTCGGAGAGCTTTGAACTTCCTTGGCGTATGAGTATGGTTCGGATTCGATAGATCATCTGAAGACGTTCCTCGGTTACATACTCCCCCAGTGGCCGATCTAGACAAACAAATTCTGTTCCATGCATGCAGAGCGAGATTTTTCGGGTTTTGCTTCATCCGACACTGGCGCTCACGAGAATGGTGGCGGTCAGAATGCTCCACGTTCGTCGCTGTATACCTCACCGCAGGAAATTAACTTATTAGTCACTGATAGTAATTCTAACGTTTATTGGCACAGAGCCGGTATCTGCCTCCGCCGCGCTCGGGACTTGCGTATCTGTATTTGCGTCTGTGTTGACAACGAGTCGAAGCTCAGACGATTTATCATCGACTGTTGAGAAGCAGAAGGAGATCAAGATGAAGACGGTCGGAGGCAGAAGCCAAATATTCTTGTTGCTCAATTCCTCATCGTCGTCACATTTCAAACGGGAGCAGCGAGAATGGCGGTTAGAAGCCTCTCCACATGCTGAAGAATTCACGTTCGGAGCCGGGAGGAAGAAAATTTGAAAAGAAATAAGTCAGACAGCTGGAGGGACAGACCGATCGACAGTCAAAGCTTCGATTGTTCGTCGACGTTTCTTGTTGGTCGAGCTCAGCGGACTCATCAAAGACGCACTTATCGACAGAGAGAACAGTCGATTTTGACCAACGAGGTGACGAGAGAATTGAACCGCTTCCTTGGCGGATTTATGATACGCGCGGATGATCGGAATCATAACAAGGATACGCTCAATTGTACCGAGTCGCTAAGGTATACTTAGCATCGGGGCTGATTTTATGATCCGTTCTCCTGATCGGGAATACGCTTCATGTAGATTGATCAAATTGGTGCAAACTCAGTCATTCAACGTTAGAGCGGAATTGAACACCGTATCATATATCACGCGAAGTTTGTCAGTTAGCGTCTGATCTCATGGTCGAGCTAGCTTCTATCATATCGTTCTACATACAATGCTCTTCGCGCCGAAGTCACGTCCTCCGAATCAGTGCTATCCACCTCGAGTCCTGTGCTTCGAGAAGCGAAGCAATCTGCGGGCCGCCGACTCATCTCACCTCATTTTATTTTATTCGAGCTGTTGCGACGGCTGTCGACGTTGTTCTCATCTCAGCGACAACGGCAGCGAAATCGAGAAGGCGAAAAAGAAATGAACAGACGTCCGATGTCGGCAGAGAAACGACGACGACTAGCACGACGATGATGTTGAGATGAAAATAAGAAACGAATTACTTCTTCCACCGCTACTCTTCTCAGTCTTCGTTACTTCTCTCGTCGTCCAGATTGAAGAAATCTGATGAAGAACTACTGAGGCCACCTTCGGTAGCAGCTTTTAAGAACCTCGGAGACGTCGACGGCGACTGCTGATTCCTAAGAGCCAAGAGAGAAAAAGAAGAAAGTGTGAAATGAATCTCATTTCGATTCTGAAGCTCAAAGCTTCAAGGGGGAAAGACTGAAGAAGAAAAACGGCTGGAGTTTCAAATGGGGGGCTAATTGAAGCCGCCTTTCACCTTACTTTCTGCGCTTGCGCTGCGTCTCATTTTCGCTTGTTGAAACGGTCGAACAGCGAGAAGCGCCACGATCCGGACACAGAATACCTAAGAGAACTCACGTCCTATCAGTCCCGAATTGGACCCGACCCAGCGGAAGGCATCGACACTTCCCCTCGACCGTTTCCCGCTCCTCCCTATGATGGAGAAGCCTTCCGCGGGAATGAAATGGAATCGGGAATTAGTGACGCACACGGATGATAGCTACGTCCGACGAACGCCTGACCACTCTGAGACGTCTCATGCTTTTTCTTCAAAATAACTCATCGAAGCTTCAGGAACCGGCGGATGACGATGGGAAACTCCCGAAGCGAGCATCTCCGCGAGACCTCTGTGCGCACCCCGAAGCATTTCGCAAAGTCAGCACCCCGTCGCATTAATTGAATCAGGATGGACGAGAAGCGTATGGGCGTGCATCTTGTGGATTGCTCCCCAGCCGCGCGACAATGAATTTGTGGCCTTTGCTACCTCGATGTAGCACCCCGTCCACCACTTGTGGAGAAACCACCGTGCATAAGTCAGTCTAATTGGTAATTGCTCAGATTCAACGACGGTTCAGCACTTGGCGACAGCGCCGGCAGCTCAATGCTCTTATGTCGAGGCGGTACTATGTACAACAACCGCATTCGCACACTTACATCCGATGGTCGCTAGCGGGCGGCCGGGTGAGCGAACGACGAAATAGCAACAAGCGATCGGACAACCGCCGCACAAGCGAGCGACCACGCGACTGGCGGCGAATGGGGAGGAGCACCAGTTGTTGGAGGTGTCACCCATGCAATTACACTATTACACTCAGATTATTCCACTTATTATTATTATTATGGGGTGCGCTCCGACGAGGGCTGGTGCCGGATGAGCCTCAAAGTGCTTCGATCACCGCCCCCTTGTTAGCAGCTCATTCTGAATTTGGCTTCGCCGTTCGAAGAGAGTTCCCGTGCTGTGGCGGGTACTGTAGAGAAACCTCAAACAATTATTATTCTTGGCCTGCATCTACTCGAGGATAAGTTCTTCAACAATGTTGAAATCGAGTCCAAAACGGAGACATGACGGGCTCCGATACCAGATAAGGAGATCGGTGAATCGAGGTAGGGGGGCGTACCGAATAAAAGAGATAATGATCAAGTGAGCCAGAAATCCAGTGAGCTTGCCATGAAACGGTGATTCCGCTCTTTGATTTTCGTTCCCCCGAATCTTGGCGTCCGTTTCCTCTGGCGACTGTCCGTGCCGAACGATGTCGCGAGCTGTATTCTCAGCTCGACAAATCAAAAAGAGCACATATGTGTATCGCAGGGCGCTCGGCGAGTCGATTCACTCCAACTGGAATTGACTGAGATCGCGATAAATTTCAATTAGGCTACCACGCCTCCCGGAGAGGCGGCTGCGGTTGCGCGGTCCGGTACCGATGGCGAAGCTCATGTTGACTACGCTATGGTTGCGCGGTGTTCGTATGCTGCAAAACCGCTGCTGGCGGCTGCCAAAGCGACAACGTGAGCGGGAAGATCAATGACATGCGAAAGTCACTCATCCATTCATCGTTCCTCTCGTTCAGTTTCGAGCTTGCA